TTGTATATATGTCATTCCAAAATGTTGTATATATGTCATTCCAAAATGTTGTATAAGAAAGTAAGCAATCTTTTCAGCAAGAAGTTCTTGAATATGTTAAACAGTCCAAGAATGCACAAAGGTAAACACAAAAATATGGACAAAATATGTGTTTATTTTTATTTACAGATGAACATTTTGCTCTCCTAAATTTTGTTCTGCTCAAAATGATTGTTGTGTCCTTGGAAAAAAGGAATGAAGTCAGTTTATCCTGATAAAATGTGGGTGAATCATTCCTTTTGCAGTGTGAACTGCTAACTGCCATAAATGTTATTATAAAAGTGATATATCACAGGTTAGAAACCTTGTATTCAAGTGGTTTGGCATTCAATCTAGTGCCCTTAGGGGCTAATTGGATCGGTGTTTAGCAAGACCTGCAGATGAAGTCAAGATTACCTCCATGCACCAGATTGTCTTTGTTTTTCTCTCTTGTCTCTTCTCTCCCTTTTCTTCCTTGGCTGCTTTTACCACTGCCTCCCCCATCTGCACAGGCCATTGAAGGAGTCATGTATGCATACCTTTGTCCCTGTATGGGAGTAAGAAGAAATGATCTGGTATTAAATTTCAATAACACGTTTTCCCAGGTCCTCCAGAGTACAAGCAATCAAGGGTTAAATTGGATCTGTAACGTATGCTCGGTGACCCACAAATCGCTTACCCATCAAACAGACTCATTACGAGYCGGCAAGCAGATGAGTGTTTGTGAGACTTGCCTCTGAGCGGTGGGGATTGTGTGTATTACCGCTAACACGGCTGAGGTATTTAAATTTTGATTTTTTCGTAATGGGTTTTGACATGTTTCATTTCCTCAGGGGGAAGTGCTCGAGACCTCCGAAAGTAAATGTTGCTAAAAAGTCATCAAGGCAGAATATTAAAATGCCATCAAATAAGAATTTCACTAATGCGATGGGGCTTGGGCTTCAGGTACGTAGAGCTGGGGGTCAGAGGGGCTTGGTTCTGGGAGAAACACTATTTGTTCCCCTTGGCTGCCTTCTTTCCCTCTTAAATAAATTATTAAACTACTTCAGCCCCCTCCTCCGCCTTCCCTTTCCTCCTCCGTCCATCTACCTCTTGTGCCTGACATAGCTTAGCCCTTGCTTTTGAAGTGAAAGGCCAGGAACTGTTGGGAGAACAAAAATAGCTCATCTTTGAGCGAAATGAGATTGTCTAACTATATCTTTTATAAGCTTCTTTAGTTACTTAATCCTATTATATTGTCTCTAACAGTAAAACAGTATTATTATTTATTATATACAGTATTACGGCATGGTTTTCTAGAATTTATTGATCTGTAAAATCGATTTCAATGTATGGAAACCTATAGACTCAAATGTCCATGAGTTTTCATATTCCTCTTTTTGTTTCAAGCATTATTGCAAAGCCTTAAACTAATGCATCACGGGTGGATTTTGTATTCCATGGGTACTCCTTTTGAGGCCATTACCAAGCTGACAACCCACCAGCTGTCACTAATTGCACACTAATGGRGTTTGGTGGTCTGATGGTTTGTCTGTGAGGGGCGTTCCAGTTCTACTCTGGAGGTCCCTATGACTTGCCAAATCAAAGGGGACACATTTAAAAAAGGATGTCATGTTATTTTGTTAGATTACTTCTAACTGCACCTCTTACAATAACGACTAATTTCCAGGCAATGCACTGAGACCCAAAGTTTCCTTGCGCGTATAATTAATCATAGATTATTTCATATTCACCTGACGTTACCTTGTATTGTTTCAAAAAAAAGGGAAGATTGCTTTRTTGGTGGCAACAGCCATTATCATGCGTGATATTTTCCATTCCCTGTCATTGAAATCTTTGCAGGAGACAAGAGGGGCTTGTGTCTGCCCTCTCCGTCAGCCAGCGCGCTAATAGATGTGAGAAGGTCATCTGGCATTAGTGGCAGAAGTGCGTTAGCATTTGTGCTGAACGTCTCTTGCCAGACTGTGTGCATGTTTGAAGGTGCTTGGACAAGCAGGCCCTTTCATGGTGATGAATGGCTTTTTTCAAGCGTTCTGCTCCCTAGTTATGAGAAGGGTGACCTGGTCATTGGACGACTTTATGAAGCTATAAAAAATGTATGTCAGTCTGCAGTCTCTAATGCCATCCCTAAACGAGAGAGGGGGAAGGGGTAGCCAGAATGGTAAAAAAGGCCATTTACCGTCATTCTAAATAGCTCTCTGACTGCCATTCTCCACTTATCTGACAATGTCCTTGTCATCAAGACAATTTCTTATTCCCTTTTTTATTTGTCTCATGTTTTATAGATTGTATTTGAGTCAACACTGGACATGCCAATGTTTTAATCTAGTCAGCTTGCTCGCAAATACCATGTTGATGCAATAGTGGCATGAGATGTTTTAATTAAAATACAATG